GCCTCAATTTCCTCGAGTGTACAATATTTCAAAAAGCTCTAAAAATGAAAACAGGGATTGTAGGTCATGCTTAACACATGAATCTACATGTGTCATCCTTCCACCACCAAGTCTATGCTGATTTTCCCTCCTATATATTGCTTTAATCTTGTTTCCATCTCCTCTGCCACCATTGTAAACAAGGCACTCTTGTCTTCTGCAAGGACTACTGAAATAAACTCCAAACTGGACCTCCTGTCACTATATCTCCTTTTCATAAAGCCAAAGTATCTTTTAAACCATAGATATCATATCACCACCACCATCCCACCCCCACCTGTATCAGAAGACCCTTTAGTGGTTCCATCAGATGCCAGCAGAGACACATCACCCATAACAGCCCACATAGCCTGTTGTGGCCTGGCCCCCAGCCCTCTCCAGCCTCACCTTGCCCTGAGCTCACTCTCACTCCCCGCATTCCAGCCTTGCCAACATTCTTTCAGACTCATCTATCCAGCAGGCAGCTTCCTAGTGCAGTGTTTTTGCATAGCTGTTCCTTCTGCCTGGAATTCCCATCTTCTCATCTCAACCTGACTGTCTCTTCCTCAGGAAAGCCTTTCCTGAAAGCTGCCCTATCCATGTCACACCCTCTTATGACATGCCTCCTCCCATGACAGTGTCTGTCACATAATCTGCATAAGGACATGCTCATAAGGATGCTTTAGCTCAGCAGTTGAATGCTTACACCATAGCACCTCTTGTTAACAGGCTTGTCATGAGTACCAGAAAAACAAGTACCAAACAAATTGTTCTAGCAAGTCATGAGGCAATTGACAGCAAGCTGTAGCTTGTGCATTGAGTCACAAACAAATGAGTATCAGGACAAAATTTTCATGTCACAGTGTGTCCAGTATCAAATGTGATAGTTTCAGCAGTTGAGTAGCAAAGTATGATTGTACAGTAGTGGTCCCATCATATACATCACCTCGTGATGTTGTAGCCATTTTAGTTCATGTCAGCACACTCTATGACATCTACACAATGATGAAATCACCAAACAATACATTTCTTAGAATTTATCCCATGTGTCTGATCTGTGAATTCTAGTCTGTTTCCTCCTCCAGACCATGGGTTCCATGATAATCAGTTACTTACCAAAATATAACTAAAACTTAGCACAGTGTCTGACACAGAAGAGATGCGAAAAAGCTTTGTTGCATAAATACTAAATGCATAGCACTCAGTAAATTGGCAAAAAAAAAAAAAGGGAGCCCTTTTTCCTTACCCAAGGCCTCTTATAGTTAATTTGAAAAATTTACTTTTGTTTGGTGTTGCTTTAATGAAACAGATGGTCTGTCAGAGTCTCCAACAATGCAGACTCCTGCCTCTCCCTCAGTAAGAGATGGTCAGCAGAGGGCCTCACAGGAGTAATTATTGAAGTCAGGTAAGTGAAAGCAGCAGCAGCTAGAAAACAGCAGATCTTGACCCTAAATTTGTCAATCCTTGAAAAGCTCAGAGTGAAAAATCTCAGAACTCCACCATCAGGATGTATAACACAGCAGCACTCTAGCCTCCTACATCCAAAATCCATTTGATCTGGCCTCAAAAACAGTTCATAGGGCAGAAGAACAGAGCCCTGCGCAAAACCACTGCTTGCTCCTGCAGTTTTCAGTTTCACACTAAAGAATTTGTAATCAAGAGCTCATACTGTTGGGTAGAATCACACGTGAGTGTTAGGGGAGATTTGCTTTCTTTGGGGGCCACTTTTTGCTTGCCAGTCAGTAGTTTTATTTCCATTTTAATTTTCAGAGCATCTGCCCCCCAGCAACAGCCTGTGGTTTGGAATTCATGACCGTTGTGTGTTTACACACTGTGCTTGCTTGTAATTGACAAATTTAAATTCTAGTCATATTTCATTCATTACCCAGGCCCAGGGAAAAATCCTTGGCGGAAACCTAATTACAGCGACAGTGCCACAAGGTAATTGCTGGGAAAGAACTCGTGCAGCAGCAGGGCTAAATATTTCATCCACCCATAAAATGATTATGCTGACAAGATTCTGAAAAATAATAAAATCTGTTTAATAAAAAAGAAGCAAAATATCAGTGTTTTTACACACAAAGTATTAAAACATCCTTCATTTTAGACAGATCCTAAGTCATTTGATTTTTATTCATATGATGATCCACAGCCAAGATAGTTCTTTTATCAGAGGCCATGGTTCTACATCAGGCTGTCAGGCCTGGCTTGGTCTTTCAGAAAAGCTACAAGACTGCTTTCTATTGTTCTTCGGGATCTTTAGTCTGTGTTCCAGGATCAGAAAGCAAACAGAATGAAGAGTGCTGCCATTAGTTTACATTATTGTGTTTAGATGGCTACAGCTCATCCACATTCCTCTCAGCTACCATGGGAATTGACCCTCTCTCAAAAGGCTCAGAAGTCATGAAATTGTATCTTCTGCCTCCAGAGCTTTGCTCAGAGTCATGTACGATCCTGGGGGCAACTCACAGCTTGGATTCTCTGACTGTCCAGAACACCACATGGCATGGGCCAATTTAGTCATTCAGCTACTGAACAAAGACATACAAGTTTTACTACGTGCCAAGAACTGTACTAGGCACAGTGTAGTGATGATGAACAAGACAGTCAATTACCTCCCTTACTAGAGGTATATTACAGTAAGAGAGGCAAGACAGAAGCAAAACACAAAATTGAAAGGCAAATTCTATCAAGTATAATGAAGGGGCTAGGATGGAACTGGAGTTATCATTGAGGATAGTCTCCCTGCACCCTAAACATTTAACAGGAGCTTATCTCAGTTGTTCAGAGAAAACAACTGCAAAACAATTGTTGTCATGTGTTGGAGCTGAAAGGAAACGGATGAAAAGGGAGACTGGAGTTCCATAGAGCAAGATGAGAGTGTAGTGTTTGTTCCAAATTCTAGAGTGCACCGCTGGAGCATTTTAAGAAAGGCACACAATCCAGTTGACACTTGCAAAACCTTTATCCCTGCTGCAGTGTGCAGAGTAAATTGTAAAGGGCAAGAATAACAGGGAGAAGCCAGTCAGTAACTCTTGTAAGCTGCTTGGACAGGAGTGGGTGATGTCTTAGAGCAGGGACAGGTCAGCAGAGGTAGAAGTAGGAGTTTTGAGCCCAAAATATATGCATATAAAAATATAAATATTTTTTAAAATCACATAACATCTCAGATCTTAGATCTAGACTTTCCATTATGTTGGCAAATAAAGAGGGGCCTCCCACACACACACTCCCCCCGCCCCACCATAAAAAAACCAACCCAAACAACTCACCAGGAAACAGAAGAAAAAAAATTTAAAACGTAATGAACTTGAAACTGGCTGACCCACATCCTTCTTTCCACTTCAGAGAACGAAGGAGATAGTGCGGGTCTGTTTCCTGCTGGGCCAGACACGGCCTTATGCACCAAACATTTTCCATTCTTATTACAGAGATTTTTATATAGGACTAAAGTTGTATATATATTTAAGGGCAAATAAACTACTGGATCCTGGCATCAAATGTTAAAATAAGTTTCAACTGTAGTCATACACGTGAGGTTTTGTAGAAGATGCCCAAAGGGCCGTAAGTCAGTGTTCCTCTAACGTGGCATACAGACCACATAGGTTAAAATGAAAGGGGAGTTAAAGGTGCAGGTTCAAGGAGCCCCACCTTAGTCTTACTGAGCTGAGTCTTTGTGATAAGCCCCCAAATCTGTATTTGCACAAGCTCCCTGAATAATGGGCAGTGTAAGGTTTCAGAAGCTCTGCTTTTGAAGTGATTGAAACACCACGCTGAGAAATGGTCTGAAGAGTTTAAAATAAAGAGAAGGAGGTTTGGGTTAAATATATAGCTAGGCTAAATAATAAACACAAAGAAATAATGTAATCCTTAAATCTTATATTCATAAATATTAATAAACATTGCTAACATGTTGGTAACTAGTCTTTCAAACTTGCTTTTACATACATATGTGGTCCCTTTCTTATAATAAAAGATAAATGCACACTTACATTCTCGTGAAATTGATTTCAAGAACCTAATATGTCATTTCATAAAGACGCTCATTCTTCATGATGAGGATGTGGTGAAGCGGGTGGGCAATACCCAGGGGGAGCCAACATCCAATTGGGATCTACGCCTTTAATAAACAGAGGAAGTATTGTTGGAAGATGGATGGCTGACATAATAAAATTAAAAACATATTTTATTTTGGGACAGAGACAGGTATTCTCTGATTGGTGGATATCTGGAAATAAACACAACTTGTGTCATGAATATGCCCTGCTGTATGAAGGCGCCTCCTAAAAAGCCATGCACAAAGAATTTTCAGACAAAAAGACATGGTAAGCAACTACCACAACACAATGCCTCGCTGAATGTTGTCAGCTTCTATCTGATTTCTTAGACACCTCGCTTCTTGTTTGCATCACAGGGATGCTGAAGGAAGAAGCCAAATTCTGACACAGTAAGTGTTATCCATGTTAATATTTTGAACATTGCATTAGAAAACTTCGACATTCTCTTGGCTTCCATGCCTTCTGAAACTACAAGGCTTCACACTGTTTGCTTTTCTTGTTTCATGGCTGAAGTACTTGGGGTAGAGACTGCCAGATTTAGCAAATAAGATTACAGAATTTTGAGTTAAATTTTAATCTCAGATAAATAATACTGCATCTTGAATCTACATTTTAAATGTGCATTCATTGAGGACAAATTCATCTTTAAAAATTGTCTGTTGTTTCTCTGAAAATTGAATTGAACTGAGTGCCCCACATTTTATCTGGCAACACTATTTGGGTAATGTCCTATTTCAAGAGAAATGTTGTTACAGAACTGTAATTTCCTAATTAGAAGTGAAAACACTTAAGCTAACCTAGACACAATGTGGTTTTTCATTACTAACATATTTCTATGTTTCAGAAGAGTTTCTCCTGGGGAAAAAGAAAATAATTCTGTTTGATGTAACATCAACCACTTGAAGAAGACTGTAAGTAAAGAATACAACCTTCATTTTAGATCACAGTGGCTAATGTCTTCGGCTTACTTCTTGCTTCTTACTTCTTTTTCATAACTGACCATGGGGAAAGCACTGGCTGTTTGGATGTACAGGAATTTCCTTGATCTTTACAACACTGGTCATGCTTCTCAGGTAATGATCCAAGTATGTGCTCAGATTGCTACCTACCAAATTTATGTACACAGTGGTTGTATAAAGCCATATTCAGAAGGGAGTTGATGCTCTAGCATGCAGCAGTCCTTAGACACAGAGGCCAGCACTTTTAATTGATAATGAGCAGACAGAGAAGGGAAATAGGAGCCTTAAGATCTAGTGGAAGACTTGGGGTAATTTACTCAATTTGTTTTCCTAGAAACCAAGACTTTATGTCAAGAATTTGTAATAAAACTAACTGAGGCACTCACATTTGGCTCCATAAAATGCTAAATCACATTGCTCTACACCAGCTTTTCTCTTTATGGGGAAATTTACCAGCTTTTTAATCTCCTTCATTTGATTAACATTAGAATCAACAACTGCAATCTGTTTGGGTTCTGGTAACCATTGTATAGTATTTGCAAACTTATTAAGGAAGACAGATTTTTTAAGGCCTCAACTTTAACAGTATCAAGCCTTAATTAGCAGGTAATGCTCTTAAAAATTTTTTAATTAAAAAATTTAAAGTCATAATGTATAGGGAAGGTAAACACTGCAGTAAGTAGTCATCATTGCTCCGTGAAAAATTTATGGTGGCAAATACATTGTTAGAACTTTTCTTGGAGATTTTAATGTTTTTTTTCCCCTTACAACAGTTGATTTTCCTTTGTGAATAATAAAAGACCTAATGATGCTCTTTTCTAAATGACAGTAGTTTGAATCTATTCAAACTACTATTACAAAAATCTGTTACAAGAAGTAATCAGCACTCTTGGGTGGGTGGAAGCCCTTTAGAGTCTATCAAAAGTTCCGTAAGGAGGATCCTAGTTACAGGTAGTTAGGCAGTGACAGTTTCTGAAACTACTTGATGGACTCTGAATTTAATTGAATGCTTGGGACACTAAATCCTAACCAGCCTTGGCCCCGCTGTCACTTGATTTTCTGTCTCTTAATGCCATCTTCATTTATCTACTTTTAAAAAATTGATTTCTTCTAAAACCTTATTTTTTCCTACTTTCATGTACAGGGAGTTTCTAAACATAAATGTGGAACCATAAAGGCCTGCTTCAAAGTAAGGAGAAATAAGGGCACATTTGGTAAGTGTTTTCTCAAGATAGACTTATTCTGAAATCATATTCTTCCTTTTATTTTCTTCTTACTGTTTTGATGTTAAATTATCCTTGCGCTTATAAAATAGTGACATTATTTTTGTTTTGCTTTGTACTGTTTATGTTAATTCAGAAAATGAATGTTTTTTCACCCACATCAGTCATTTCACATTTATATGCTAGTGTGTACATTATTACATGAATGTTTAAATTCAATCATCCATGAAACTCAGAACAGTTAGAAGACACAATGCACTCATTTACTATTTCAAGAAGGAGTGTATTAGTTTGCTGGGTTTCCAGAACAAAACACCACAAACTAAGCAGCTTATATAGCAGAAATATTTTTTCTTAGTTCTGGAGGCTGGCAGTCCAAGATCAAGGTGTCAGGGGGCTTGGTTTTTTCTGAGGCTTCTCTCCCTGGCTGTGATACACAGTGAATGCTTAGAGAATGTTTGCTGTCAGTTCCTTTGTGTCCCTTTTTACCTCCACTCATCATACACAGAATTAAATAAAAAGTGCTCAACATACATAAATAGGCACTAGCAAGTGTTTGAATTTAAAATGCTACGTGAGGGAAGCACTGGCATAAAGATTGATATGAAACTGCAGTGTTGGGTAGGGTTAACTCAGGAAGGCTGCCTCTAAGAATTTTTAAAGGCATATATAGCACTATGAGAATTAAGGGGTTTTAGAAGGGAAAGGATTACTGTACAGCATCTAATCCTAGATTCCATAAACCAGGGGACATGTTCTAATAGTGATCAAAGGGTATTCCATGTAGTATACAGACATTAAACAGCATGTGCTCACTCACATATAGTGAGAATTATTGCTCTTCCAACTCTTTCAATCCTTCTGATTATATCCAAAAGCAAGTCTGAATTTGTGCTCAACTGTCTTCAATATGTTTCCAATGATCAGTGAGAGCCTATTTTTACAAAGATCAGGCTCCACAGAATCAGGAGGCTGCATAGCATTAGGAGGCAAACTTATCTAAAGATTTAAAATATTGTCTTATTTTCATTGTCTTTTTTCTTTTTTTAAAATTTATTTGAAAAATAAAAGAAGGAAAACACATTAACAAACAGACATCCATTTATAAAATAGCATACGAACAATACAAGCAGTACAGAGTTACCGACTAAGTGGTAGAAGATTAACAATGGTTGTTGTACTACATATTGATATCTTCAAAGTGCTTTCTCAGAAAAACAAATAGAGACATAAGATTGACCAAATAATTAATCATTAACTGTTCCTTTCAGTAAAGCGATAGAAGTCAGTAGTACAACTATGTTAGCTATCCTGTGTATACATACATACATAATTTCCCCTTCTTTCTTTTCTCTTTTCCCTCACCCCAAATGCTCTTTACTTTTGAGCATTTTCCTTTCATTTCACAATATCTATCATACCTCATTGTCATTTTTCTGTATTCCACTTACACTGATGATATAAAGACTTTTAGGTAAATTGAAATTTTAAAAGAAAGTAAATTTAAATATGAAGGTAGTAATATAGGCAGTGCAAGGATAAGGCAAGCAATCATCCCAGTGGCCCATCCATGAATGAATTTAAGAAAAAGTGGTTTAGTCCATCCCTCTCATAAGGAAACTGGTGAGGAAACTGAGGTTGAGGAAAAGGAAGATACTCTTTCCAAATCCCATAGCTAGTGTCACTAGGATGTAATCCACATGAGACAACCATTTCTATACTGCTAAACTGAAAATAAATTTCATCTAAAATAACCAACAGGGTGTAATTGAGCTGTTAGTAAAGAATTGGTTCAGGAGGCTGACATGTATTATAGGGGAGGCTGAGAGAAGGCAAACACTTCCACATCTGATGCTGGAGACCAAGGCTTCTCACCAAGACTAGGACAATACTCAGGGCACCAAAGAAATCCTTCGACCAGCCCCAGAGATTGTAGTGGCAAAAATTCCTCATGGACTCAAGCAAAGATGGCTTGAATCCAAGTTTTTCAGTTTGCCAGAAATCACAGTGTCTCTTTCTGCTCACCTGTGCAAATGACTCATCTGTAAACATGTGTAGAAACAATAATAGCTAACATTTATGGGACACTTATCTGCTGAAAACCATTGATGAACTATCTCATTTAGCCCTCAAAATAACACCTGAAGACAGTTATTATCAATCCATATGATAAGTGAGGACATTTATATTCTCAACTGTTATATCACTGTCCTGCATCTGTGTAGCTAAACAAGGGATGATGATGTAGGAGTCAAAACCAGTTTCAGCCTACATTCTGGCCATAATTCTGAAAATGTTAGTGCCCACTCTGCCCAATTCACAGCGCAGTTGGAGCCTGGCATCCAGAAGCTTCTGTGTGTGTGGTGGGAGGCCGTCTTGCCTGCCTTTACAATCCCATGATGCGGCAGGCGGAGCAACTGGCCAATCAGGAGACAAGAGGTAGAGGAGCTGGCCAATCAGAAAGCCTGGCCTCTCACACCCGCTTGCCTCACGTAGCGGCCAGAACTTTAGTAACGCTTAAAGCGGTAGGTCCTGTCAGGTCAGGCTTGTGGGAGACGGGGCTTCTCTGTGTGTATTTTGATCTCGTTTGGGAGTGGAGGGACTGCTGAAATTTCCAAGCTGTCTGAGGCTCCATCTTTAGCCGCTAAACCTGACTTTAGGGGCCTAGCGTTTGTGTCTCCCACCGTCATGCCCCGGGTCTTGGCGGCCCAGGAGCTCCTCCCTGGTCAGCAGAGTGGAAAGGGGCGGTTGGCGGTGTGGGCCGCGCAGAGACGGGGCTTTTCTGCAGTCTAGGGGCACTCTGAACCTGTTTAATGTCGGCCCGATTCAGTTTGGGACAGTGAAGACTATAGACCCTTCCAGGCTACCCTAGTCTCATCCGGGGCCATTGAGTGGGTGACCAGTCGGAGCTCTCTGATTTCCCGAACTCTTAGCCAGTGAGGAGAATGAACTTGTATGGGCGTTTCTCTACCCATTTAGTTTTACTCTTGTTTTTTATTTTTTAACCTTTATTTCTCACTTTGAAGTTCTTTAATTCCATAACACCCCCCACACACGCCACACTACAGTACGTTTTAAAACTCGTGTTTATTTTTTCCTCAAACCTGAATCTTTTGGTTTGCCATTCCCAAATAAGATTGTTGCTAATCGTTCGTTTTTTTTTTTTTTTGTTTTGTTTTTTTATTCACTGATATCTGAAAAACTTACTTTTATTTACAGTGGCTCTGGAGTAAAATAAGATAAATTCCTCGTTTGGGAAAAGGCAGGGGCAAATGTTGTCTTAAAGGTTAGTTTGTTTCCATTATTTTAGAAGAACAGGTTGACCCATAACTACCCAGCTTTCACACTGCTGGATCTGTCATGTGCTAATAATTATAGTTTATTTTTTCAAATCATTTAAAGAGGTTTGAATGGATTAAGACTGGCTTCTAGAGAACTACTTTTCTGTATACAATTGGTTAAAAACATGTAAGGTACTATGTATACATCACACACACATATATAGTAACATGTTGATTTATACATATATTGTATGTAGTAACATGTTGATGTATACATTTCAGTTACCAAAATTAAAAATGTTGCCAAAACTGAAGTGGCCATTTTTCCTGCCAACTAAGAGTCAACATATAATAATTAAATCCTATTTCAAGTTTTATTGTGTAAAGACATCATAAGTGAGCCTTATTCAAGAATAATATAGAGACATTAAAGCACATAAACAAAACTTCTGTAAAGAAGATCTTAACACAATTTCTAAATTGTAGTTTGTAAGTACTGAGATTTTCTGAAAAGAGGGCATCTTCATTTCCCTTGTAATGGCCCTGTCTCATCAATGTGGTTTGTTTAAAGAAACCTCACCCTAAGAATTCCAGCTTGAGTAGTTTTCAGTTGGAACAATATAATGGATTTATGCCTTCCTGTGTTAGAATTCTAACCACTTATAAGAATAGTTTCACAGCTATTTCAGTTCTGAAATAAAAGATTTTTATTTTAGAAATAATAAAAATTATTTTTAAAGTACACATAAATATTTCTGACTTTTACATTCTTCTCTTTTAAAATCAGATGTTTAAGAATAATGTTACTGACCATAAACAAAAGGTGGAAGCCATAATTAAAAACATGAACACAGTTTCTTTGGAGTTGAAGAAAATGAGAGGTAACTATAGAATCATTAAAATGTTTACATGCCCTTGTTATAAAATAAGTGGTAGAGCTAATTTATGCTTCTGTTAAGGTGTATTTTTCCAACTAATTATGATACCCCTGTTGAGAAGTGCTTACAATGGGAACTCTATAGATGAAGTTAGCTTGAACATTGACCTGAGCATAAGCAAACCTGAGTCCCTATCTCTGACACTAACAATCTAATCATTTTGTTTAATTTTTCTGAATTTACTTTTCTTCTTTCCTTTCATCACACAGTTGCATGGTATGTCACACTCTACAAAATTCAGTGTCTTTATCCATGGATCCTTACTGAGGCCCTAAGGTTAATTCCAAGTTAAGAATTGTAAGTTTTCTTCTGTGAGTTAAGAGTTCCTCATTTTAAATGGATTCCTACCGTAATAATAGATCTTATAAATCATAATATTTAGTTACCTCATGGAAAAATTCTGTGTTATCTGCATCTATCCCTGACCAAACATCCTTATGTTGGGGAATTCCCTATTTCCCTGTCAACCCTTTCTATTTTAAATAGCTCCTCTTCATGGATTAACAGAATTCTGCTTGCCTATTCTTTCCCTCTAAGTCCCATTTAACCTTGAAAACTATGTTTTAGAAGAACTCTTGGATATTGGTAGATGGCCCCTATCAGTTATGAGACCTTTAGTTCCAGGTAACAAAATACCAGTTTAACATAACTTAAAACAATAAGGAACAGCAGTCCTAAAGAAGGTCTAAGGAAGGACAGCCCTAAAGTTAACTCAGAGGTTGAAAGACTTCATCAAAGGTGGATTCTTTCCGTCTTTCTGCTGTTTTCACTTTATCACTACTCATAGTCATTACCTTCAGAGGTGGGTATATACAGACACTATCTCTGCCTATATCCCTGTATAAACATTTCTCCTGCTTCCTCTAAAACATCTTTCCTTTTATTGGCCACAGCCAAGGGGAATAGACTGACAAGATCAATTTGGACAAGTCAGAATTTACTGCTGAAGGTGGGGAGAGTAGCACTTCAAATGGAATCAAGTTGTGCCACCAGGAAGAAGAGGGGAAGGGAAGGGCTCTTAGTTAGGGAGTTCTACTTTTCACACGTCTTCCCTAGTGGAACATTTCCCAGACTTTGAGAACATTTCTGTCTCAAGAGGCTTTTTGTTTGTTTGTTTATTTTGTTTTCTTGAGACAGGGTCTTACTATGTAGCTCAGGATGACTTCAAACTCATGATAGTCCTGCCCCGGCCTCCCAGGTACTAGGATAATAGGCATCTGGCTTCAAGGGAATCTTAATAGATGGCATATGATAAAACACAGTCCATGTTCTTATGATGAAATAAGCTTAGGGCATTCTGTACATTATATATTTCTCCACAGATTCAGAGTGCATATTATCAAAGGCTTTGAGGAGTTTAGTGTAAAGCGATTTCATTAGTTTCGCTTAATTCATCTTCTCTCAAAATGAATCTCAGCACTACAGTGAAGATTCTCTTTCTAAAATCCAAATCTGCCCAAAACCTTCATTTGACTCACTGTCATTCTCAGGATAAAGTCCAAATCTTTTAGAATGGACTATGCAACCTCCTGTGATCAGACCCCTGCTGACTTCTCCAGGCTCATTATTTTCTCCCTGCACGTTCTATGCTCCAGCCATACTGAACTATTTATATACCCACGTGTGCTCTCTTTTGTGTATATGTCTTACCTCATACATCTTCTGAAATCCCATTGCTAAACTGCACCTCCACCATACCAGGCTGATTGCTGCTTATTTGAGATCGTTTACAATGGAAGACCTTTTTTCACATTGGTGCATTCCCTTCTGCCCTACCATATCATCATACCATGTTGCAATCACATGCTTACTTTTTCTTTCTTTTTTCATAATTTCTACTATTTTCCTTTTTATTTTAAAGATAAAAAGAACCAAAACATATTAACAAACACACAGACATAAACAAAATAACATAAAAACAATAAAATTAATACAGAATTTCAGACAAGCTGATAGGAAATTGACAATGGATGTTGTATTACATGTTGTTATCTTCTAACTGGTTACTCAGAAATTGTAAACTCCTTAAAGGGTATTCATAGCATTTAACACACTGCCTCAATATAATAGATTCTAAGAAAATATTTATTAAATGAATAAATGGTTCTGTGTGCTTGGATCTGTTTAAAACCTTCAAAGAAGCTTTGTATTCTTCCGAGAATTGATTATCTATTTGTTCTACTTTGAGGAATATTCTTTCATGAAGTAAAATAGAAATACTGCATATGATAGATATGTTCCTGGAAAGTTATGTGGGTAGGTCATGCAATTAGGATATGGGGAACCTATACATCTAAGCTAGGAAAGTAAATTTCTGGTAGACATACAGAATTAAATGAACTCTCTATGTAGCCCCACCTCTTCCCAAAATAATGTCAGAGGCTTAACATAAAACTTTCCATAATCTAAGCACTCTTCTAAGAGCACTACCTAAATGAATTCACTTGTCTTAACAACCCAGTGCACTTAGAACTATTATTATTGGCATTTACAGATATGAAAATAGAAAGAGGTTAATTTTCTCAAGATCAAACAACTAATGGTAGTAGTTGTAGAACTAATTTTTAAACGCAAGTATTTCAAAGAGACAAAAATCTACAGGGTACAGAAATGAATGACAACAAAACAGAAAGCATATGAAAGCAGATAACTTTTAACCCTAAAGTCCAAACATGTGAGCCCTAAGGTAGCTGAATAGCACCAAGAAATAAGTTACCAAGGCTCTGTACATGGTGACACGCAAATCCTTTGGAAATAAAGGTGAAATTTGGCCAGTAACAGGAAGACTACTTAAATGTTTTTAAAATATTGTACATCCCTGAGATCTCTTGCTCCCTATGCATAACTGGGTAACTATTCTGCCTCAGCAAAAGAAAATTCATGGTTTTAAAAAGGGATCTCTAAAAACCAAAAAAAAAAAAAAAAAAGGGGGGGGGGCTGGGGATTTAGCTCAGCGGCAAAGCACCTGCCTGGCAAGCGCAAGGTCGTGAGTTCGGTTCCTGGTACCGGAAAAAAACCAAAAAAAAAATAAAAATAAAAAATAAAAAGGGATCTCTAGCTTAGATCTAGCTAGCCACAGCTGAGGGAGAGTACTACGCTGAAAACAAAAAATATGGAAGATATTATGACAATGATGACATACTAAATTGTCAGACCCACAGTTTCCCTCTCTCATGCAATTTACCAAAACACTCTTGGCCAGACTTATACCCTTCAAGCAGATTCCTCATTCAGGAATCTGACCCACTTAAAAGACCTAATGACACTGAGAGAGATTCCTTCAACAAAATAACCCAGTGAGATTATTCCACAAAATACTACCCTGAGCATAGATCACGCAGTTGTGACTAGTGCCGAGGTCTGAAGTTTAAGCAAACAACTATGGCAAACAGATATTTGAGGAAGCCATCTAATATGAAAAACAGACAAAGCCAACAAATAAATTCATTGAGGGAGAAACAAATTCTAAGGGAAGATGAAAATGTCAAGAAACTTCCATTACTACCCACAGAGAAGTAAGAAAAGTTTCTGTGTCTATGAAAAGGGAAAAGGATGCTGTAAAAATTCAGGCAACAAAATAAAATTAACTGTGAAAGTAGAAATGAAAAACTCTACAGAAAGGTTTAAAAGTAAATATAATTCCCCTACAGTGTAGAGAAAAATGACAGAGAAAAAAAGTGTTAGTGGAGGAACAATGACAAAATCAGTGAGTGAAGTCCAGTATCTAATAAATAAAGTGTTAGAGAAAACAGAGGCAATGGGTGGGAAGGAATTCATTGAAGAAATAATCTGAGAAAATTGACCAGAGATGAAAGGTATGAGTTCTACAATGAAAGAGCCCAACACAATGGCTGAAGATAGGTTACATACCAAGGCACAATATTCTGAAATTTCAAAGCACTGTGAGAACAAAAAAATCAGGTAAGCTTCTGAAAAACAAATAGGAATTGAGAATTAGTATCACATGAAAATTCTTAATAACAATGCTGAAAGCTAGAAGATAATGCAGCAATACCTTTGGAAATCTGAAGAAACATGATTCCCAACCTCAACTTCTAAAGTCAGTCAACCTATTAATTGAACATTAGTATATATAGAGAAAGTTTTAGGCATATCCACCTACCCGCTCTCCAATCCCAGGTTACTGAGGATTTATTTTTCCAAACAAGAAAGCAGATCACAAGAGAAATACATGGGAATTCTAGGAAAGGTAAGGGGTGCAAGGGGTCCTTAGGATAATGGTGAAGGGAATTCTCTAGACACGAGCTGCAGAGCAGACCCAGGGAATAGTCATCCCACAGGAGAGAAAATCAGAAGGCTTCAGAAGAGGGGAGACCAGCAACATAAGAATAGCTAAGGTGTTGAATGTAAAAATAGATTTGCTCAACTGCAGTATATTTGGGATATGCTCCTGATAAACAATGCAGATAGAAAAGAATTATCAATCATGGTGAAAGGTAGTTTGCAAGAAGGATGTCGTATTTACAAGACTCAGTTGTAAGAATATTCATATAATTAAGATTTCAGCATTAAATACTGAGGTAGCAAACACTGTCCTCTAAACATATTGAGGAGAAAGGAGTTAGTAAAAGAACTGTGTTTTAATCATTTTTAGTTAGAAGCAGATACTCCCCAAAACTGAAAAAAAAAATCATGCCATTGAAAGATATGGAGATAAATACTAGGTCCTACCTGCCCCCCCCCCCAAATAAATACAGCACAGGCACACATGAAACAACAAAAACAATGAAAACAAAGTGAAATGTTTAAAAAGTTGAGAACAGTTGTCTCTGGAAGACAGGAACTTTTATTTTTGTAACATGCCTTCTGAACCTGAATCTTTACACTATGCGAATGTTTAACTTAGATAAGAACAAATATAAAACTGTAGGAAAATTTTGCATATCAAGTTCTAGAGTAAGAAGATAGTTGACTAGCTGGATTAAAGAGCCCTTCTGGTTAATTTTTATATCATGCATGTTTTATAGTAAATAAATTTGATTTTAGGTCAAATTGGACACACGTGTGGCTTGATCAGTAATCGTTTGCAAAAAACTAAGTTAGGAATTGCTTAAAGCAATAACAGTTGTTTATGATACATGTACTGCACTATATCTACTGTTGTTTTGCTTTACTCAGAGCTCTCCCAGTTGCTGCTTTGTGACCTCACTCTGCAGTTTAGTGATCCTGTGAATACAGAGGACTTCAAGGAAACAGAAAGAAATGACTCCCTGTCTGAAAAGTCTGAAATACCAGATGCATCTCTTGCTTCTAACAGTTTCTCTATCTGATTTATTTTTTAGTTATTATGAGTTCATGGTGTTTTTCATTGTTGAATTAGCAAATATTTGGGGGGATTAAATTTACTAAAATACTTAATGTAATTAAAAGCAGCAAAATTAATACAGTTGTAAATAAATATTTCATTTTCTTGAAGGCTCTTTCGTTGTTGTTGTAATGTTTGAAGGATGGTTGATTTGTTTTACTAAAGGCAAGAGTATGACATTGAGATTTGGCCATGAGGCATTACTTATCCTTTATGCTTGAATTTGCCTTACTTTAGCAGAGTTACTATATTACTAGTAGATCATATGAGTTTATATTAATCAGAACTCTTCTAGTAGCAAATGATGAACACACTAGCTAATACATTTATTGGATCATATGACTTGGAAGTCCATAATTGGAATAGATTTCAAAGACTCCGCAAACATCTCCTATTTCTATTAGTTGTTTTTCTGTGTGTTGATCTCATTCCCATTATAGACTGGTTTCTTCCACATGATGGGTAGAAGAAGGTACAAACATAGCAGCAGACAATTCCGGATGATATAGCATTAGTTTTGAGAGACCCTCATAAAAGAGAGATCATCTGTCTCAATGTCCATGTGTAACATTTGACAGAGGGACCCAGACTGGCTAGACATAAAATGGGTCACTGAACAGGAACCTGAGCAATGGTCACTGCTGCAGCTGATGTTTTAAGGCCTTAAGCCAAAAGAACACCTTTATCCTAAAACTCTTTAATATCTTCTCCCATCCACCAAGAGACTTAAAAATAAGCTATGTCTTATCTAGAATACATAATTCACAGCCAAACAGATGCTTTGACATTTATCATGACCTTCATTTTAGATGTTTTTTGAGCATAGTAGATGGGATGCCCTGAAACAAGACAAGCTGATCTTTCTCCATCGCAAAAGTTCTGACTTGTATCCTCATTCCCCAGCACCTAACCTAGTATTGCACAGAACAGGCACTAAATAAATAAATACCTTTCAAGTATCCTGTTGAGTAAACATGGAAATGAATACGAGTTTTTCAGCTTTGAGCTTCCAAATTCTGGGCTCTAAATTGAGAACTTCTAGTTTGTAAGGGTAAAGTTTTATGAAACATTGCCATCATCCATGGTTAAAAATTTTCACATTACACATACTTATCTTACTATATCATCAGTTTTAACCTGGGGGCTGCTAAAGTCCCTTCCAATGTTTTGTCCATTAGTTCATGAAAATAAAGGTACAAAATTGTCCCTTTAACTCAGAAAGCTTGTAGATGAAGCAGAAAGACCAAAATTTTCTGTTTATATAATTTATGTAATAATA